TGTGTGTGTGTGTGTGTGTGTGTGTGTGTGTGTGTGTGTGTGTGTGTAACTGTGGTGTCTCAATGGTTGAAGCAGAGGGCTTGTAGATGAGTGTTTGTGGGTTCAATCTCCACTTGAATCTTCTACTTGATTCTTTGATATATCGTATAATTTTTCACTTTTATATTTAGAGTTACTTCACAGAACACTTTTTGCTCTCATTTAACTGTATTAACTTAACATGGAGTATTATTTAAGAATTATTACTTCAAATCAAATTAGAAATCCAATTCAGAAAGCTGTGCACCTTTTGGGTGGCAGGTGGGAGGCATCTGTTTTTATGATTTAATAAACCAGACTGGTTTTCATGAGACACAACCTCGAGGGAGAAAAAAGGCAAAAACTTTCTAGACACACACACACACACACAACCCCCCCCGGCCCCCACCCAGCAACAATATATTAAATATTAAGCATCATATACCCATTTTTTTCCACAGAAAATATAACGCTATTTGTAAAAATTTTCATTAAATTAATGTCCATCCTATTAATATTTTTTGCTGTTAAGTGTTAAATGTGTGATAAGCATTCCTCTGATATAATCTAATACAACATTAATCTTGTACATCGTAATTTGACTGTTAAAACATTGAGAAAAGATAAAAGTATTTACCTTAATATTACTGTATATTAATCCTTCTTTGTGTATAAACCCATTATTTTGATGCAATCTGAGAAAAAAAAACTTTGCAAACTTTGTACTTCCCTGAGGAATTTATTAGGAATTAGGAATTTATTGAGTTGAATTACTATTTTGTGCACTTGGATTTTTTTTTTCCTCTCTAAATGAGTGAGTTTTGTGTCACACTGCTAGATTTGGATGTCTCTGTACGTTTTCGTACTCCATACCATTTGAATGGTGGAGAGTTAAATAGCAGCTTCCTCAGAAATAGACTTTAGTCATCTTTGTGTTACCCTGTCGAGAAACCAGTCGGGCCGACACCCGCTGCCATCAATCCAAACTCTGATCTTCTTCAGAGGAGCGATGTCATCAATCTCCAAGGTGAATGTGTCTTCTTGGTCCCTTTCAAACCTTAATGGAATAATATAAAGAGAAAACTTTTATTGTTTTAAACATGAAGATGGGTTTTTATGATAATGAAATGATTTGAACATTTTGGAACTGATACTTTAATAATGGATATTATTTATTTATTTACAGTTATAAGCTAAGACAGGTTTGCTGCCTTGATTGTGTCCATGTTTGACACATTATAAGCAATTGATTTAATATGAGCCAAAAAAACAACAAAAAAACACTACTCGTGCATGCAGACTGTTCGTTGGCTGGTAGCATCACGTTTCAGGAGATTTTATAATCAACAAGATGGTAAAAAAGGGAAAAAATTATAAAGGATACACAAACAGCTATTTGTTTTCTGGACTTTTTAGTTTTAAAGGCACTTGTTGCAAAGTCATGAAGAATGATACAAACCAGCCTGATGTAGGTCAATCATGTGATTCAAGTTTCCACGTGATTTTTGGTGATTCAGCTGAGTGCTTCGTTTTCATTGAATCTGGACTCACATTTCAGAACTGCACATCAATATTTCTTTAAATCTACTGCAAACCCCCATTTGATATAAGATGACCTCATATGCTTATTTCATACTTTGCAATTAATACTTGTAATAATGGAAACATGTTAGACTATTCTCCTCCCCCCTATTTTTATTTATTATAAGATTATTTATTATATTATTATGTCATGAGATAATTGCTGGACTGACCTATCTCCATTTTTCGGCAGCAGCATTTCCTCTGTGCTCCCGTTGGCCCCGTACACAGTCAAAAAAATGTTGGTATCCGTCCCTGCATACTGAGTGTCTCCTGTGACAACTGTGATTGAATAAATAACCTAAAAATACATAAATAAATAAAACTAACTTCATGCATCACAGTCAACTCATGTTTCCCAAGACATCAAATTGTAGCTGACGTAACTCACTTTACGGATAATGTTGATTGTGCTGGAGTCTAGCACGTTTAACAGTCTGGCAGTCAGACCATCTCCCCTGTCTTTTGCCAACCAGCACTTACATGGAAAGATGTACTTGATACCTTTGGTTGGCACGGCAACCGACAGCTCGTCCACCAACCAGCAGCTCTCTGGTGTGACACCGTTATGACCAAGCTGAGCAGAAGAGGAGACAGAGACAGAGGAGGAGGACGAGTTGATACATCCCTTGATATGCTTTTGAGCCACGCACCAAACACTGCAGCTACAGTTAATTATTTCTGAGCTACAGTGACGCTGTATAAAACGTTCGACAGTACATCAGAGGAAGCAGCAGAGAGGAAAAACAGTTTTACAAATTTAGCTACAGGCACAGTCCCAGATTCTCACTTCCACCCTCTTGATCTCTCCCACGTCCGTTCCATAGCACACAAAGTGCTCCATGCCGCCAGCGCTGAAGGATTTCTTTCCTTCTGGCAGGTCCAGCCACAGACGGTCTGTCTCGACTTCGTTGGGGCCCATGATGATGACATACACCCTGGCAGTAGTGCTGGCATCACGGTCGACCCCCGTGGAGAGTGTGAAATGGTACGGGATGACTGCGAGAGGAAAGGGATTAGATTAAACACAATTTCTCCTTCATTTAAAGTTCAGTCTGAACTCACACATCTTATTCTAGTTTCCCTTTATACCTCATTCATCTAATCTGTCAAAAAAACAGCAATCTTGAGGCAGAAATCTCGATATGTAATAATTCAACCACCAACTTTACCCTATTAATGTAAGGTCAAAAAGAGCATGGTTTCTACTGTGATTTTCTCTAAGTGGATACAAAAAGCACTACAAGCAGTCAATTTATCATTGTCACCACTGAAGTTAACGTGCTACAACATGATTTATTACCCTTAAAGGGCATTTATAAAGTATTACACAGGTTTGCTATAAAGGCCCAATACAGAACAACACCACAGCTCTGATAATAGATGAAAAGAGCAATGTACCGACGGCCAAAGCGGCTTTGTGTAATCACAGTGTCATTGTGTGAGGTCCCTTCACCTCATTCAGTCAAATCAATGGTTTCATCCTCATCAAATGTGAATCAAATAGTCGGCCTGCCCCAAATCAGTTGTTGTTTATCTGAATCTGGCTTCCACGCATGGCTTTGGATAGGCCAACTTATCTCAAATTGTTCCTGGAGGGTATGCAAACCATGAAGCTCTGCTCCCCTCCCGAGAACATCTGTGGACCCTTATCAGAGCTGAGCCGGTTGATAGACACTGTTCCATCTTTTTCAGGACTATGGAACTTCTTGGCAGTGTTCAGTGACAATCTCACCGTTTTTGTCGGTTCTCTCCCTTCTGCAAAATGTCTTATGTCTATCTATGTTGCTTTTTTTTTGTGCTGAGGTAGTTTTGTTGCTACCTTCCACTGTGTCCTGTGTTTCAAGGACACAGTGTGAGAGATCTTTGTATCTTTTATACCTTCTTCTTTCCTTGTATTTTCTTTCCTTTTCTTATCTAAACAATAAGGGCAGCACTTCACAGCAAAGCTGCAGCCTCCATGCACCTCCGTCTACCCTTTTTTCTTTGGACGGCTGCACTGAAACGTATTTCGTTGTGCTTAACTGTGCATTGACAATAAAGTTGATTCTGATCATTTGGTTTTATTTTCAGACTCATTTAGGAAAAATTGACTTCATTCTCCTGAAATTAAGAGACTATGCTATTTAAGTTAAGGTTTCTGTAATGGGAATTCCTCCTTTTGATCTCGTAGATGGAGTCAAATCTTTCGTAATTATTTATTTAAAAAAGACATTAAATTGGAATGTCATTTTATATATTTGAATTAAAGTAATCAGAATTTCAAAAAATATGTATTTAAACACCTGTGTTTATCCTGATGCATGCTCAATAATCCAGGTAGAAAAATCTAAAAAAGTTAAATCTGGTCCTCTGGACATTAAAAAAAAAAACCCAAAAAACAAAGCAAATCAACAAAAAAATGTAGAAACGTTTCGTCTCTCATCCGAGAGACTTCCTCAGTCTGAGGAGCTGTATTCAGCTCAGTCTCTTAAATAGCACCATCTCAGAGTGTTTATCATTTTTATTTATGTTTTATGACCAGATGGCACAATTCTGATGAGAAGGTTTTATGACATTTACCTCTCGAGTCATCTTTCTAATCAGGCATCAAAAGTACTTGGTTGTGATCAGGAGAGGACAATCATCCTCTATGATGACATAGTTGTTGGATAACAATGGATGAAAAATACAATTTTACAGCTTTTGCTCTGAAAACTGATGCTAAAGGCTTCCTTATGATGGTCACAGACACCTGGTGGTGTATTATGATGCCATGAGGGTGAAAATAAATGCTAGTCTTTATGCTAAACAATTTTACCCCATCTTTTGCTTACTTGGACCTTCTTCCACTACTGCCACCTTTTTCTTCTTTTTCTTCTTGTTGGCGTTTCGGTCCAGACCTTGTCTGTTTTGGGCCATCTTCTTAAAGTATGGATCTGTATTCCTTTCACCCTCATACGCCTGAATACATACATATAATAAGCAAATTTTATTGGTCGAAAAATAACCACAACCCCAACTAAATAAATAGTTGATGGAAAAAAAAACCCAGTTCATTTTGCTTTTACTTTCTTTTTTGAATAATTGAAGATGTATGTACTTCAAAATGTTTTGTTTTGTTTGTTGTCTTGACTTACGTTCTGTATTTTTAAGCCTGAACCACATTCCAAAAAGTTGGAATGGGAGCATTTCTTACATTGTTTTTCCACTTTTGTGGAAGTTTCTTATTTGTGTTGTTGCACAAAGTGAAATGGGATGCCGTAACAAACCTTGACGAAGAATGTCCTCTCAGTCTGTTTGTCCTCTTTCTTTTTTGACAACCAGCGTTCACACAGGAACATATAAACTTCTTCTGTTTCCACATCTTGCACCTCAACCTGGTCAAGGTACCAATCAGCACCAACCATGGAGTTGTCGTGGCGAATACGGATTTTAAACACCTGTCCCAGGTCCACAGCCTCGATTGTAAACCTGTCCACCTGAAATCCCAGGGAGTCATACAGATTTTGACATCTTTGTACACCGAACACAATTTTTGTCACAATTTTCTCCACATACCTCTCCTCTCTCAAACTTGTTTTTGTTGTTCTCAGATTTGGCGAGTTTTCGCTCTCCTGTGTCTCCCAGGTCTCCGTAGATGGTGAGAAAAACATTGGCATCAGTTCCCGCTCCGTGCATGTCGCCTGTCCGCACCGACACCTTGTATGTGTGAGCTGGTTATAGAGAGAGAAAAGAACGTAACTGTTTTTTTTTATCAGACTCTATGAAAAAAAGCTATTATTTTGTTCTTCTTCTGGCTGCTCCCTTCCTTAGGGGTCGCCACAGTGAACCAAGATTTGGCAACTGTTTTTACGCCAGATTCCCTTCCTAACGCAAACACCGAGATGGTGTAGAGATAGAGCAGCTGACTTAGAACCAGAAAGTTGCAGTTCGACTCCCCACATGCCCACATTTCGTAGTGTCCCTGATCAAGACACTTAATCCCTAATTGCTCCCTGGGCACTTCCATAGCTGCCCACTGCTCCACCTGGGTGTCTCTCACGTGTGATGGATGAAATGCAGAGAACTAATTTAGCCATTGTATAGAAATATACATGATGACAACACATAGCATTGACTTACTTAATTAACACAGACCTCTGAGCTACCCTCTGTGCGGAGCAGAGAGCTGCTATCTAGGGTGCCCAGTGGAGCAGACGATGGGGGTTAAGGGCCTTACTCAAGGGCCCAGAGTGGGGCAAAAGAGGGTGGAGGCAGTTGTGGTTGCCTCAACTTTCCCACCCACATTTTGATGTTGCCGGTCTGGGGAGTTGACCTTCCATTTACAGGGTTGCTTTCCCCAACCTCTGCGCCAACGCTCCCCATGAGAGTATATATATATATATATATATATATATATATATATATATATATATATATATATATATATATATATTTCAATTATTTATAGTAATTATAATGCAATAAAAGTTTTTTTGTGGTTTTTTTTGTGGGGGGTTAGAAGCTGAGACTAATCTTCAGCACATATTACGAGCACTAACAAATCATGCAAGAAAAAAAGCTTTGTAGGTTTAATCATCCAGGTAAATAACAACAAAATAAATAAATCATGTCATCTCTTTAAGTGAGTAACGTTTAATCTCCCATCTGAAGGACTTCATCAGTCTGCGGCCTGCCAACCAGATCTGTCCCACAGGTAGACTTCACTGTTGTGTTTCAAGCTCTGAAGCAGGCTTTTCACATGCAAGCAGAGCCCATCCATCCAAAACAATCAAACATCATGTATTACGTTTGAAACTCTTAACACGAAAGGCTGTGAGCAATAAGCATTCCTTCAAGGAATGCCAGATCTTTCTTTAACAGTAAAAAACTGCTGCAAACACATAATGTGTTTTGAAATAGCTTTTCATTAAATAAGATTGAGGGAAAGTTTAAATTTATCTGGATGCATTTGAATGAGTAAAATAATCCCACTTCAGTTCTGAAATCGGAGAGAAACTTACTCTCCAAAGCATCCTCCACCTCGGTCTCGGTTGACTTCAGCGTCCCGTCCCTGAGGAGTTTCTGCGTGATGATGTCAGAGGGGACCAGCTCCCTCACCGTCTCACCGTCATCCTCAGACTTGGCCAGCCAACACTCACATGGGAAAATTGTTGTCTCTGAACCCTGCCATTAATCACAGACAAAAGGGCCCCGCTCGGTCCATCAAACATGGAAAGAATATATTGAACTCTGAGAGGTGTGTGTGTGTGTAGTTAGAAGATGTTAAGTTAAATTAATGAGAAAAAAACCCCCAAGTATTTAGTACTTTTCCTTTCCGGAGCTGTCGCCTGATCTCCACTCGGTCAAGGTGCCATCCTGGATTGGTGCCCCTGTTGTCGTGCCCGATCCTGATCTTCTCTATAACATCACCGATGTCTTCTAGCTGTGCAAAGACAAGTGACTGTTTCCAGACCAGCAGCAGAGGTTTGATAAAATGATCTGTAGTCCACACTCTAACCTCCACAATGAACATGTCCTCAGCTCCTCTCTCGAAGTAGAGCCGCCGTTCTCTCTCGTTGACACACAGGTGCTTCTGCTGCGTGCCCAGCCCGTTTTGTCCGTACAAGACTATGAACACATCAGCGTCTGTCCCCGCAGCAAACACATCGCTGGTGAAAATCTTGATCTCATAAGGCACGACTGGAAGAACAAACCGAAAACACAGACATCCCACACATTATTTGTCACAAACTAGAGCAACTTTAAATATTACTACTTTTTTTTTTTCTGTTCAAATGCTGCAAAACCAAAATGTTTTAAAGCAATGAAAATTTAGAGATTTTGAAGTGGAGTTCAAAAAGTTATTAACTGTTATTATCTTACCTGTTGTGGATGGTTCTGAACAACATTAGTTTGCAGAAAGAGTTTAAATATCACCCACTCCCAAAAGGTGAATGCAGGAAATAATGTTTTTCTCTTTCCTGTGTGTGTGTTTGTGTCTGACTTTGAGCAAAATATCTCATGAACAACTTCTAATGAACACATCTACAACTGTCATCATTAACTGACCTTGAAAAACATAAAATGCCTATATTTCAGTACGGTATATTGACAAAAAACAGTGTGGTAGTAGTTGAGACTGACCCCGAGCAAATGTTCTGAGAGCTAAAATGTGCAAGGACTTTATTAAAAGGTTTTGTCATTAACTATTTGGAGTTATCTGTGTCTGTCTGTTAGCACATTATTTTATGAATCAATGCACTGATTTTAATGAAAGTTTCAGAAAATAATTACCGACAAGTTGTATCTCTACAGTTGATTAACTTTCAAAGCCTGCCTATTTCAAGATGGCTGCCTCAGTCAAATTATCTTAGAAAACACAAAAATGGCTACAATTCAGTCAATTTTACAGATACTGACTTAAAACTTGGTACTGCTCTAGATGAGAGTCATTCAAGACACATACTTTGTGCATGGTGTCTTGTAATACCACTAAATGTTATTTTCAGTCTTTAAAATGATTACAACTCCATCAGTTGTCAACATAAAATGGTCTTAATGTTAAACTTGATTACTAGATCTTTAATTTTGACTGGACTGATGAAATAACAGCTGATATAGCCATTCAGATGAAAGATAGCAAAAGTCTATTTTGTCTTGGCACCTCTGACTACTTTCTAGTTATTATCTCAATAATCTGGTCAGAATTAATTTTGTTTTCCAAACTGTGGCGTTCAAAGAGCGATCTACAACAGGTAAGATATTAAATGTTCAAAATCCTCACTTCAAAAGCTCTGAACTCCCACATTAATTAAAAACCTGCAGACGGGCACCACAAAAACATAAATAAGCTCCATCTTCTATTGTTCTTCACAGAGCCTACTGCAAATATGCTCATATTTTAGTCAAAGCAAAGTTTTGCGAACAGGTTTTTAAAAAAATCTAAATAAAGCAACTGTCAAATTCTGTGACTCTCATAAGTGGTTTGACTGTTCACTCACATGGAGTGTAGAATTCAGTCTGTAACTCAGCAGGATAGAGATCCCTCATGATCACACCATCATCCTCTCCTTTATCCAACCAGCGGCCACATGGGAAACGTAGTTTCTGTCCCTGAGAGGGGGCGTCAATTTCGACCCAGTCCAAAAACCAGCCAGGTGAACCTCCTGATAGCAAAAATATATATACAATACCCTCATAATGTATTGATTGTCATGTTTTGTCTTTGATTTGTTCTGACCTGAGTTGTCGTGTCCAATTTGAAGCTTCTCCAGGTCGCCCAGGTCCACAGCCTCCACAGTGAACTCATTAATCATCCCCTGCTCAAACTTGTTCTTATAGTTTTTACAGGCCTTTAGATTGACAATCCCTGGGCATAACAAAACAACCCATTAGTTGTTGTTTGAATCAGGATGGTCACACAATAATGAACCAATAAATGACTTCACCTGTATCATCATTTTCTCCAAAAAGTATGGCAAAAACATTGGCATCCGTCCCAGCATACTTTTTTTCCCCAGTTTTTATTTTAAGAGTATATGTAGTCGACATGGCTGCAGTAAAATTCAACAAGTCAGAAGTTAAAATAACTCTGAAACTTTAAGATGAACGCATGAATTCTGATCGTGTCTTTTATCTTAGATTTGAACTCTTTCTTACATTTCTGCTCCAGACCCAGAGTGGCCCCTCCTGTGCCCTCCTCATCCTCATCCTTCCTCATAAAGGCCTCATCAACAGGAACCAGCTCTCGTGCGATCTGACCATCGTCCTCCTTGACTGCGAGCCAGCGGTTACAGGGGAAGTAGTACCTATAGAGCCAAAATAAAAGTATCAGAACTCCAACAGATGAGATGTTAAGTGTGAGCAACACCTAAGCGGCTTCCTGTTGCACCTACGTTACGTCCTCCTGCGTGTCCACTATCTCAACACGGTCCAGGTACCAGGATGAGTAAGGCTGAGAGTTGTCATGGCGAATTCGCAGCTTCTTCAATAGGCCTAAATCAATCGCTGTCACAATAAAAACATCCTCCTGCAAAAAAAATAAAATAAAAACATGAAAAAGTTTAGACATGTTGTGTTTAATTTGTTCACCTAAATTCCATCCTAACCAGACTGTTTAAAGGGGTATTTCTCCTAATTAATAAGATAGATAACTTTTACTAATTGGCTTTTATAATGTATGTGAACGTTTTTATACAGTGCCCTGAGACGACTTCTGTTGTGACTTGGTGCTATATAAATAAACTAAATTGAATTGAATTGAAGTTATAAAATAATACCAGAAATGCTTGGATGGAGAAAAGATAAATTAAAAAGATGAATTTAAAGACAGTGTCCTTTTAGTAGAAGGGACGGTTACACTTGGCAGGGTACAAAGATAGAAAACACATCAAATAAAAACAGAAAAGTGAAAACTATTATGCTTTGTGATGAAATAGACATAATCTGATGCACTAGATATGATAGATATTATTCAAGATAGATATTATTATTCTGATTGATATTATTCAAGCATAAAACTAGTACGTATCAAGTACAATTTAAGTTCTGTCAATATAGCACATTTAAGTACAACTTAAGTAGAGTCCAAATAATTTTTCAATGTATTTTCTTACAATTTCACAAATATATTAAATATTATTATACTTGAGTATATTTTATTTTCACCTGTGAATTTGAATGTATCAATCAGAGGATTCCAATGAATAAAAATAATTAACACAAACTGTTTCTAAAAAATACATGTAGATACTTCATAACATGTGGTAAAACAGATTCTAAATAAGTGCTTTTCACCCACAGTTTCAAACAAAATTAATAACCTCATATGTGAAATATTGAAACACAAAACATTTGTTTTTAGATGTGAAATTCAAAAGTTCATATTCCTTCATATTCCATCAGATCTTCTGCATCACATTAGAATAACGTGTTTTCAAGCGCTTGCTTGAAATGAGGTTCAAGCTTTAGTTCAGAAGCTCCTTTATGACTTTTTATTTTGATGATTTATAATGTGGTTTGGCATAATTTAGCCAAAATGTACAACTGTCCATTAAAAATATATATTTCTTTTATATGTTTTTCTGACACCTGTATATTATTTTATTCCTGCTGCTAAACAAAAGCAGGCCTGTTTTCCCGCCTGTGTCTGTGTGTGAGTATATTTATGTGTGTATGTATTAGTGTGTTCGTTAGCAAAACATCTCATGAAGAACTGGACAGAGTTTAATCAAACTATCAGAAAGTAATCACTGGATGTACACCTGAAACTCATTAACATTCAGGATCAGTGTAATTGAAGTAGACAGCCACAGCTAACATTAGCAAACACAACAAAGGCTCTAAGTCATTCATTGTTACAGATATTGAGCTAAACTCTGGTGTGGTAGCAGCTGAGAGTCATTCCCAACATATATTCTGAGTATTTATACAGATTTGCTGGAACCCTCAATGTTGTATTTTATTAAGGTAATCCTGCGGAAAGGTATTTGAAAAGATTTGACGAAAAAGGGCAAAAACATATATATAATATTTTAATTTGGCAAATAATTTGACTTTGCCATGTATGTGGGCAAAATGCATTCCTTTTTAGGAATGGTTGGCCTATCCATCCATCCATCCATCCATCCATCCATCCATCCATTATCTTTACCTACTTCTTCATTTTTGGGTCATGGGGATCACTTGAACCCATATCCAGCAGTCACTGTGTGAGAGGCGGGGGACACCCTGGACAGGTGTCCAGTCCATCACAGGAACAGATAGAGACAAACGAGGCAAACAAACAACCATTCACTCTCTCACTCACTCCTATGACCAATTTAGAGTTACAATCAGCCTAACATGCATGTTTTATGTCTGTTGGAGAAAACTGGAGTACCCGGAGAAAATCCACACATGCACGGAGAGAACATGAAAACTCCACCCAGAAAGGTCCCCAGTCGGGATTTGATCTGGCGACCTTCTCACTGAGTGGCTACAGCTCTACCAACTGCGCCACTGTGCCGCAAGAATGGTTGGCCTTTCATCTGTTTTTAACTATTCGTGCCCTTACATATGTGTGCTTTATCACACGCATTTTTATCATAAATGCTGGCTCTCAATCTGATTTCTTTCTTTTTTTTACTATTCTCATCCTAATTAAAGGAACTTGAGACGGTTCCAGCTTGACTTTCTCTTAAAAAGCCTTTAATTATGCTTCACTGACTCGCTGACGTCCGCGTTGAAAATCGGATCCGTTTGTGTTTTAATTAAATAAAGCTCTCATCATTGAACAATGCTGACAAAGGTTACTGATGAGTTTGACTTGTGGGTCAGAAATAAAGGTATAAGTGTGTTTTCTTGTGGAGCTGCTGTAAGGCAAAAATGAATAATTCACAAGTGTGGATAAAGTAATGGGTAGAAGTAGGACAGGTTCTCAGAGTTCCTCTCATTCACAGCTGGCTTGCCTGCAGGAGAGCTTGTAATCTTACCAGAATACACTCCCACCCACACCTCAGCGCCACGCTCGTGTTACCTGGAAGTGCTTGAATCTTTGACTAAGTGCTGGGTAATTTTCAGCCCCTCCTGTAAACCGTGTAAAGCGGTACAGCTCTAATAGAAATTGACGTTTAAACTGTAACATTTTTGTGCATAGCGAAATTTCTCCATCCTCGCTTCGAGCTTTGTTCAACCCGTCTCACCTGGCCTCTCTCAAATTTGTTAATGTTGTCAGAATTCCACAGGAAGCGCTCTCCGGTGTCTCCGTTCTCCCCATAAATATTAATATAGACATTGGCATCTGTCCCAGCTCCCAGCATGTCACCGGTGAAGACGCACACTTCATAGGTGTTGACTGTCAAACAAAGAAAACCATGAATTATTAACTTGTCTGGAAACTGGAGCATATCTCGGCCAGGAGGCAGTGTTAAATCAAACTGTGCAAATCACACCATCAGCACGAGAATAATTTGACCTAAAACGTTATAAATACTTCAAAAACAAGTAAGTAAGAAGTGCTTTATGGATGCATGTAAATGTGGGCAACACTTGATCAAAAGTAGGACTGTAAGGGAAAGCTTTTGGGTAAAATTACATTAATTCAAGCTTATTCACTTTGTTTATTAACACTAAAAGAAACAACTTGTTAAAAGCCTTTAAATTCCTATTTTAGTTTTATTCAAATATAACTGCTTTTCTTGGCTTTACTGACTGAACATAACAAAGTAAGACAACAAAAACAGCAATAAAAACTGCTAAATTAATTAAAAAACTTTACTTTCCACTGGCAATTTTTTTTTTGTCTGTGTATGTATTCCTGTATTTGGTTGTAGCATTAGCAAAATAGCTCAAGAACCAGTGGATGGATTTTATTGAAACTCTCAGGAAGTAATCTTTGCATGCTCAGCTACAAGTGGAGTTGACTCCATACAAGATGGCCACCACAGCTAAGCTGTCTTAGCAAACACAAAAGTGGCTACAACACTCAATTTTATGTAGCGCTAAGATTTGGACTGGCAGTAGCTGAGCGTCATTCCAAACACATCCTCCAAGATCCTGTGAGATCTGATTTCAAAACGTTGCCATTGACGATTCAAGTCAGCCATGTCTGTCTGTTAGCAAAATATCTCATGAATGACAAAGTATTTTTAATGAAATATTCAATAGTCATCATTAGACGTCTACAACTGATTAACTTTTGTAGTTAACCCAATTTAAGATGGCGAAATGGCTAACTGACCTCAGGGAACACAAAAACTAGCTACAAATGTTGAGATCAACTTTGGTGTGGTAGTAGCTGAGCATCACCCTCAACACAGACTCCGACCTCGACACATTGTGTGACATTTTTGCTTTAAACTTTGGCATTGTGTGTTGACATCAACTCTTTCATCAACACAAGACCTACACAAGGCGAGGTCAGTGAACAAGGCCAGGCTGATTCTGGCAGATCTCATTCACCCACTCCATGGTGAGTTCAGGTTGCTTCCATCTGGACGCAGGTATCTGCTGCTCAGATGTAGAATGAACAGACTGAAAAACTCATTCATCCCTGTAGGGATCAGACTTCTCACCGAATACTGATGATTTCTGTTCAGTTACATTAGTGTCTCAGTGTCTTGTCTAGTATGGATGTTTTGTGCCTACTGACTGTGAAACAAATTGCCCTTCAGGGATAATAAAAATTCTTGAACTTGAACTCTGTCTGTTGGCAAAATGTCTCTTGAATTACTGGATGGATTTTAATGAAAATCTCAAAAACTAATCAGTAAATACACATTTACAACATTCATGCAATAAATGTTTGGAGTCAGCCAAAACTATGATGCTAATCAAACTTAGCTAATGCTAAAAGGGCTATAACTCAGGCAGTTTTGCAGGTATTGAGTTAAATTGTGGTGTGGTGGTACTGGATGAGAGTCTTCCTCGACACGTGCACTAACGCATCTTGCGAGATCTCACAGCAGAACGTGCAGAACTTGTTCTTCTCTGGTTGTAGTCCCCCCAAACCCATCCATTTTTGTACCTTCCAGATTTTCAGCATCCTCGGGCAGCAGCTCCACCGCCAGCTCCCCGTCCTCCTCCCCCCTGCTCAGCCAGCGCGAACAGGGGAAATGATACGTAAGCACCACCTCCTGCATCTCCTCTCCTCCTTCTTCATCCTCATCCTCCTCGTCTTTCTTCTTTTTCTTTTTTTTCTTCTTGTCTTCTTTTTTCTTCTCCTTGGGCACCAATGCCAGAATTAAATGTTTGACGTCTACCGTCTCCAGGAACCAACCGGCTCCAATCCCTGAGTCGTCGTGTCCGATGCGCACTTTGAAGATCTTGCCCACGTCTTTCGCCTCTATCTGTATAGCAGGTATGATGCTTTTTACTTTAACTGTAAACGCATTGACTTTAGGGGTCACACTAGACTGATGAGATTTAATCTGGAGTTGATGAAAACATTAAGTTCACCTTCGTACCTTGAATATTTCAGTTGTGTTCCTCTCAAAGTTGTTGGATCTGCTTTCAAGCCTGATAACTTCAGTCTTTCCCTTTTCCCCGTAGATCTGGATGAACACTTTGGCGTTGGTGCCGGCGAACATCACATCTCCTGTAACTACTACTATCTCGTAGCTTATCACTGGGAAATGAGGTTCAGTGAAAGTGACAGGACATGCAAAACACCTGTTAGTAAAAAGTTTACAGAATTATGAGCAAAGATAGTCATAAAAACATAAAGCTGAGACATCGGTTAGTGCTTTGTAACTTTTCAATGCTATAAAAATACAGATGTTAAGCAAGTTAATAAATATAGAAGATGCAGTTTTAGATTTTACATTTTGATTAAATGAGATCTTAACATTTTTATAATACGTAAGAGAGACTCTGTTTGTAAGTAACCATGTAATTAGCTCTTTATATTTAATTATTTCCTGTTAAGACACAAGTTGTGAAGCTTGTTTGGTCGTTCCTACAAGCCTGTGCAGAAAAGAAGCACTTCACTGGATGATGAGTTGACCTGACGTCCTGAGCTCTGACGAACTCGTAAAAAACAGAATACCTCTCAATTTTTGTTCTTGCTGTCATCAGATACTGATACTTTTGAAAAGTCTTGGGCCCTCTCCCATTTTCTAATATTTAACTTAAAATTAGAACAATTTATACTTAAAATCAAACGTTTACTAAAGTTTTTTTTTCCCCACAGTTTCTTATTTTTATTTTTTGGGACATTGTCTGATTTTTTTTTATTTATTTTTACTCCAGTTTTTCTGCCTGAAGATTTCTTTGGATTTTTATTTGTTTTCACGTTTGTTAAGCCACTTCATTCTGATTTGTTCAAGGATTATTTAAACACGAAAAAGGCTTCTAAAATAAACCAGTTTGAAGAACCAGTTTTGCAGCTATAAATTACAGGAGTTCAAAAAGCCAATTTCAAATTACATTTTAAGTTTCCAACAGATACGTAGATTACTTCTGAAAAAAATACTGATTTATATCTGTTATCATCTGGCCCTGTGATGGACTGTTCAGGATGTATACCACCTCTCGCCCAATGACTGATGGAGATATTTGGCACCAGCTCTCTGTGACCCAGCCAGGAACAAGTAGGCCCAGAACTTGGATGGATGGATCATCTGTTATATTTTTTATGGATGGTAAATGGGAACAAACATGTTTTTGTGACAGGCAGCTAACAATAAAGCTTATAAGAATGCAACATTTTCTTCTTTACCATGTCTTCTGCAGTTTAGAGATTCAGTATCAACTAATCAGGTTTAAGTACCTTTAAATGGTTAAATGTCTTACACATACATACATTTTGCCCTAAATAAAAAAACAGAAAGAAACCAGATTTTCCAACTATGCTTGGATCCAACATCTAAAAAAAAAAAAAAACTTAGAAGGCTCTTGAATAAATGACAATGTATAAAGCTCAATGAAAGAATGAGGGGTGCTTTATACCAGTTCTATTAAAATAATGCATCTACTTTGTAATAGAATATCTTATTTTGTAGGAGCTTTTACTGTGCATTGTCTGTTTCTGGGTCTTGGTGTGTTGTCCTTTATGCCTTATTTTTAAAAACAAGCTTGAACAAGTTGTAGTCTTACTGCGTGGACTTAGTTGTAATGTTTACAGAGAATTTTATGAAACACTGTAAGAGTTGCCTACATTGTTCCATATCTAGTATCTCGCTTGGGTAAATCTCCACCTCGGTCTTCCCATCAGCCTCATCCTTGTCCAGCCAGCGGTGACTGGGGAACATGTATTTCTGTCCATGAACTGGAACCAAAATCTGAACGCTGTCCAAGAACCAACCAGCACGCATCCCTTTATTGGTGTGACCGATCATCAAGCGGTTGATCTGGAAACACAAACAAACAGAATAGAAAGAGGTATGTTAAAATTTGGATTCACGTTTACATTCTGAGTGAATCTAATACAAAAAAAAAAAATCACGATTCTAGTGTTGACTTTTTATAAACGCATGCTGTAACATGTTTTACAAGCGTGAGAGAACCTGTCCGATATCAAAAGTTTCCACTGTGAAGATGTCAACGCGGCCCGTCTCGAAGTAGTTCCCCAAGTTATTGGTAGAAACCACGAGCATCATCTTGTCGGTGTCTCCTTTCTCCCCGTAGAGCTTGACAAACACGTTGGAGTCTGAGCTGCCACCGGGGATGTCACCTGTCTTCACTGCGATCCGATAACTGATATCTGACACACACACACACACATAGCTACACACACGATCTCTAGAATCAAATCTAAATGCTTAGTTACATTTGTTTCTTCTGACTCACTGTAAAGACGCTGTCCATCTGAGAATGGCACCAATTCTCTAAAGATCTGTCCATCGTCCTCATTGCGGTCCAGCCACCTACAGAGCACAGTCAGACAATTAAACAACAACTCTTGTCTCATTTCATGAACGCACACAGGGTTGGAGTGAGTACTTAGTGTGCACGCAAAGAATATTTAATTAGAAAAACCTGCTCATTTATGCAATTATCCATAAGCTGATATATTCATCATACCCATTTTATCACAACAGACTCATGTTCAGGCTGCTGTTTAATACACCGTATTATATTATATTATAATGGTTTAGCATACATCTTAGATCCGGCTTGTATACTGTTTCTTTTTTATAGTTTATATTATTGCTATTTTGGGGGGTGTAACTGGGACCTTGAGTACACAATTTCATTCCACCTCATGTACCACATGTGATGCAAAACACAATAAAGAACCTTAAAACTTGACAACAAAGTCCATGCTCAATAATCCAGGTATACAATCCAACATTTTTCAGTCCGGTCATCTGGACAGTTTCTCTGGTTTGTTCCACTTTGGAGTAAGCTGTTTGGGGGAAGAATCAGTTTTGTTGTGTGTTTCCTTGACTGATGAAGTCTTCCGGATTGAAGGCGAAATGTTTCAGCACAAAAAAAGAAACTGTCCAGATGACCTGACTTAATCCTTGACCTTATCCCATCAGTAGCATCACAAAGCATGACCTACAGGCCAGGAGCCTCAATTTATACTAATATCAAATGTGAAATATTAGGCCTGTCACGATAACAAATTTTGCTGGGCGATTAATTGTCTCAGAAATTATTGCGATAAACGATAATATTGTTTGAAATTTGACAATAATTAGTAATTATTGTCAAATTTAAGAAGAAATGTTGGTTAATTTTTGTGTGTAGTGCCTTTTTTGACCACAGGATGGCAGTATAAGATAGTTTGAAACGAAGGATGGATAGTGAGGGAGCAAGCAGCGTGTCTCTTTAAGAAAAATGGGAGCGAGGCCCCTTGACATGACATGGGCTGTCTCTCTTTCCATTATTTTTTGGTTCTCAAAATGGCGGATGCTCGGTGTGGTTTGAGCTCTTTAGCATAGCATTTTTCACACAAAGCTTTTAATAAAAAAATCTGTAAACAAGTTCTCAGCTTCTTTGTGCAGAGAAAAACAACTTTTTACAAGAAGGCACGGGTTTCAACTGTGAATTTTTGAGCTTTGACAAGACAATGTTTTTTTCCTTAGGTCGACCAGTTAGCTTAGCTCGTAGCTTAACTGCTCATCTTAGCTGCTTTTAACGATCCAAAAACACGATTTTGGATCGTTAAAACAGATTTTAAAAAGAAAAGAGAAAGGGAGGGGTCAGTGAAGAGCACCAGAGTTGAGCTTTTTGTCATCCAGTGTCTTCAGTAGAAAGAGAGAGACATGAAGAAACGATAAAGCCGATAAATGAAAATGAGGTTGATAATTTTCATTTATCATGCGATTCAATGATTTATTGTTTATCGCGACAGGCCTAATAAATATTAGCCTAAATCAGAATCAGGTGTTTGTTTCTAAAATTGCTAATCTACAAAACTGCACTGGTGCTAAAAAGGAAGTAAAGTTTACTGCATATCAACTCTAGGATCTTAAACATCTTGAGGGGTCGTATAAGGAGGACAGGCCAGCTTGCGATGACAGAAAGGTCCAGTATTTCATGAAATATTTTGCTAACAGACACACACTTGCGTACACTGACAGGCAATAACTTTATTACCCTTCTTTCATGGCTGTGAGCTATATACACAGAAAGATTTGTATGCAACACATTTGCAGATTTAGCAGAAAAAATAACTAAAAATGACAAAAAGAAAAAAAGTATGGCGTTTCTGAAAATGGTCTGTTCCTGCCGAGACATGTCACAGATGGTGCTTTTAGAATTTGGCACCGGCAGCATCAATTTATGGACCCAGCCTGTCATGAATGTGTCAACAGTGTTTTCTGGCACACTGTAGATTTCTAGATGCCAATCATAGTCTTTGGATTGAAGCTGGGGTCAAAATGAACTATATTGATTTAAATTCTTTTTTTTTTTAAATATATATACATTCTCAGGGTTTACTCAATTCAACATTATTTGAATGTATTACATAAACATTTCATTTAGAGTAAAACTGTGGGATGTGTTTTTGTTCTGCTTCAGTTGATGCAACTGACTAATGAAAAGGTTGGTAATGTTTTATGCATTTGTGCCCTGATCACAGCATCTGGAATAAATGCCATGTTGTCAGGATTAAAGCAAATGACAGCGTGGATCAGACTGATGAAGGTATGTTCGCTAATAAAACCCTCAAAAAGCTAAAAATGTGCACATATGCTGTATATACAGTATGTTCAGGACAATGTACCTGTTGCAGGGGAATTCTACAGCATTGGCCTCTGCCTTTCCTTCTTCTCTCACAACCACTTTGTCCAGAAACCATCCGCAGCTTCCACCTTTACCATCATGTCCAATCCTCATCCTGCGGATGTGCCCGATGGTTACTGCCTCAACTATAAACTCATCCATCTGGAGCAACAACAGCAACAAAATGATGTTTTTTTAAGTCTAGTTAGGTGACATTTTAGACTGTTTACAGTTTGGAAAAATAAATTGTTTTCTGAATTTAATTTAACATTTCAGACCTGATATTCAAAGACGAATGAGTGATGTGTGTTAATCAAATGGGGGAAAAATGTGTCTAACTATATAATGAAGATTGTACCCACATTTCCTTTTTCAAACTTGTTGACATTGTTTTTGCAGTTGATCAGCTGCCGTTCTCCGGTGTCTCCCAGGTCTCCAATCAGGTTTATAAAAATGGAGGCATCTGTGCCACTCCCGCCAACATTTCCCGTACAGACTGTCAGTCTGTATTTAATCACTGCAGAACAGAAAAACAGACACTGACAGGTATTACACACAAACACACGCACACAAAAACAACAACAAAAATAAAAACAACAACAACAAAAAAATATATATATATATTAGGGGTTAAACGGCTACATATTTTAAAAAGTCGACTTTAACATGATAAAAGTCGAGTCGACTTTGCCTAGTCGATGACGTCATAGGAACTCAAGCCGCTATATCATATAAAAAAAATAATAAAAAATTAGAAAAAAGTCATTTATTATTTACAAAAAAAAAAAAGAACAAAGCATTGGGCATCTATTCATGCTACCATTTATCATACAGCAAATAAGTTGAAATAAAAGCAAAACTATTATCAAGGTGCAAAAATGCTGAAGTTTTTAGTTTTATTTTATTTAATCCACCATGTGGATTGGGTGGAATAGGCTTGGGAACTGCGGGGGGAGGGGGGGTGCGACTAGTCGACGTGAAATATGAAAACTCGCGAGATGACATAGAGTCGACTCGTTGACCAGTCGATTGATCTATTCAACCCCTTGTGTGTGTGTGTGTGTGTGTGTAAGCATCTATATTTTTGTATGCATACCAGGCAGTGGTTCATTAATCAGATCTCCACTGGCTGGAAGCTCCCTCACAACTTCATTATCATCTTCGCTGATGTCCAGCCAGCGCTCACATGGGAACGTGTACTTCTCCTTTGTCAAGGTCTTCATCAGAGTCACCTAGAAAAGGTCAAATAGAAAAGGTTGGGTCTGTAATTTTAAAGAAGTGATACTCATTCAATAAACAACAATTTAACAGCAAAATAAAGGTTTACAAAGCAATTGTGTGTCTAAAGCTAAAAAAACCTGAAAATTCTAATTAATTTAGAAAATATGAGGTAGTTTTTACAAACAAAAAAATAGGCTGGATAAGTTGCATTTTCTGCAAAAATACAGGACAAACGCTAAGTAAGCTTCTGCATGACTTGGCTGATATTTGCAAAAGAAGGTGGGTTATTAAAATCAAACTAAGCAGAACTCTAAAACCCAAAAGCAGAACTTTAGCTAAAAGTCAATAGTAGTAAAATAGTAGCTAGAAGCTAAAAGTAGCAAAATGCTAACTAACCCTTAACAAAAAGTATAGATTTGAAGTTTATTTTTGCAAGTATACTTTAAGTATATATGAAGTATACTACACACCATACTTGTAGTGTACTAGAAGTATACTGATTTAATACTTGTTTGGACTAAATTGGGACATTTTTATACTATTTTTAAGTATATCAAATAAAGTTTATAAAAAGTAAACTTCAAGTACACTTCCTCATTTTTAGTGTAAAACAAGTATACTTGTAGTATACTTAAATAAATTACTTTTTGCTAAGGAAAGAGCTAAAAGTTATAACGCTTTTATGAAAAGTAGCTAAAAATGTCGTTGCATATAAAGACAAAAATACAACAAGAATTCAGAAACAAATTTCCAGAGGAACATTTCTGAAAGAATTCAAATGATCTCGGTGTACAGGAATCTTTTGTAAATGAAAATTAATATCTTAAAAAGCTGAAAAGTTACAAAAACTAAAATTCATGGCACACATTTCCTGAATATTCTGGGTGTTTCCATACCTGAAAGGCTAAAATCACATCCACTAAGTTATTCCTAATAAGCAGAAATTATTGGAGTTTCAACCTTTTACATCTGAGATCTCTCACCTTGCCCAGATGCCATCCTGCAAATGGATGCCTCTTCTCGTGCCAGATTCGAAGTTTGATCAGTTTTCCCAAATCAGGCAGCTCAACCTGCAGGTTTAGATACAACAAAAAGAAAAGTCTCACTGATATTAATAATGATAACGCATATTTAAAATTGTAGAGCACTTACCATAAATCTATCCACTTGTCCCTGCTCAAAGTTGTCAGATTTATTGTCCAGCCTGATCTCATCTGATTTACCCTTTTCTCCGTAAACCTGAAAGGAAATATCTGCATCTGTTCCTGCGCTGGGTATGTCTGACGTCCAAATCCACAAGGACCAGGGGTGCTCTGAGGACGAAACCAATGCTCTGATTAAAATCAGAGTTTTTAATCACATTTGATGTAGTGACTGGCAGGCAGCTCAGAAAGAGTTGAAAGCAGCAACTCAAAACTTTGGGGAAGCAGAAGTATTGAGTTTAATCCATGTCAGGTTATTCCTGAGTGGTTTTGCTCCTTCAGCATTTCAGTGGAGCCCATGGAGATGGCATTTTATGCTTGTTAAAATATCCTCTCAGGGCAGAAGCGTCACCACTGACGTGATTGTGGTGGACAGCTCCCAACTGGGAAACTGCTGCGAATGAATAAGAGGCCATGCAGTGATAGAATCTCCATCTTACAAGTTAACATGAACAAATAAAGCTCAATCTTGTCGTGTGTATGAGGATAAAGAGAAAACACAGCTGTAGTTATTGTGTGAATGTTTATGAATCATCCACACTGTTGTGATCCATTTTTCCCCCCGTACGTTTTCAATGCGATTCTTGTCCCGCAGTTTTCAAGCTATTTCAACAAATCGTATACCGCATTCAGCTCGTTCAGGACAATCTGGCTATGACTTTTGGTATTGGTGTAACTTTAGCTTTTTTGCCATGTTTTTCCCCATAGAAATTGAAATGAGCTCGTTTTACATCCTTACTACTATTTAGCTGTTTTTATGCTAATTTTATTATACATTTTATGCACTCATTTAAACCTTTTTCAGCTTAATTCAGCAAAAATATGTGCTTTTTCCACTTCCTTCTTTATTTTCTGCTTCTTTCTGCTTTTTTAGACACTTTTCAGCTGTTTTTGCTCATTTCTGCTTTTTCGGATAATTTCCACTTTTTGTGCTCATTTCTTCTTCTTTAAGCCTTTTTGGGCGAACAAGTGTTCTTTCCGATTTCTTCTGCTAATTTATACTTACTCTACATTTTCAGCTACTTTTTTTTTTTTAGCTAATTTCAGCTGTTTTCAGATAAAGTCAAGTTTTGTGGGGGATTTTTTTTGTTGCTAATTTTAGCCTAATTAACTTCTTTCTACTAATTTCAGGTGTTATGCTCCTTTCAGCTTCTTTCTGTCAGTTTCAGTTATTTCAGCTACTATTTAGCTGTTTTATGTTAATTTTAGCATTTTCAGTTATTTCCACATTTTTAGCTCATTTCAGCTCTTTGTGCTTCCTTCTGATAGTTTAAGCTTTTTTCTGCCTTTCAGCTACTTTTCAGCCATTTTTTTTCTAATTTCAGCTTTTTTTAGCTTAATTTCTAATTTGCTGCTACTTTCTGTTTATTTAAACTTAAATCAGAAAATATGTGTTCTTTCTGCTTTCTTCTGCTAATTTAGGTTTCTTCTTTCATTTCAGCTACATTTCAGCATGTTTTTAGCTCATTTCAGCTGTTTCTCAGCAAGTATGCAATAATCATTCACACTGCATTTTCACAGGAAATGCACTCACTCTTCTGTCTCCTTTGCCTAAGAGAGACCATCTCATACAGCTCCCGCTCGATCAGCCCGTCCCCCTCATCATCATCCAGCCATTTACTGCAGGGGAAGGTCTGCTCGATTCCTGTGAACGGACAGTACACGACCACCTGCGGAGGGCATTGTTTCAGCTGAGCTCGTTCACCGTACATCATCATGCAGAGTGTGTACCAGCATACCTTCTCGCAGTACCACCCGGCACTCATGCCGTCATTGTCATGTCCAATTGTGACTCTGCTGAGGGGACTGAGGAGAGCAGCAATCTCAACATTAAAGATGTCGGTCAGACCGTGCTCAAACTTCCCTCCCTCCAAAAATACCTGCAGGAAATTTATGGTTAAGAGCTTCAATTATTTAAAAAAACATATCTGTGGAGAATATATGGAGCTAACCAGGTGCCAGCTGTAATAAAATCAAATAAATCAGTTTTCTCAGTTTAAGAAATCATCCAAACAAACTGTATAAGATTTAACTCAATGGTTTGATCAAAATACCAAATTTGATTGAGTAAACTTTTCTGTTTTGTGTGAATAAAAACTAAAATCTGTAGTTCTGTCCACAGATCTGCTAATGAAGATCAGGCTCTCCTCTGTATCTAAATCTTTACCTTGCCACTGTTCTTCAGGCCTTTGGTGCCGTGCATCACAATGTGGACTTTGGAATTGGTTCCCGCTCCTCGGACGTGTCCTGTCACAATCTGAATGTTGTACACAATACCTGGCAGATCCAGTTACAGGTTAGATTCCCAGAAGAAAAGTCAGCATGGGTCACTGCACCCAGCTCCTGAGAAGCTGAGCTGGAACAAGATTATTCAGATCTAAACATCGTTAATCAAAACTAAAAAACATTTTTTTATTTTATTTTTATTTTCCCTTCCTGGTTTAAAAGTTGTTTCCTCACCTGTGGGCTGATTCCCTCCCACTAAGACGTCCCTCTGAATCTTCCCATCGTCCTCATCCAGGGCAAACCAACGATTGACAGGAAATTCATACACTATTTTGTTTCCCATATCATCCAATATCACCTTTAGAACAAATAAAATGTAAAATAGAGTATTTAAGACAAAATCAAGTGTAATTGTTTTGTTAATATTTCCAGGAAAACTATTTTTTTTTTGCTGTAAACAAAAATCTCTGAGCTCTTTCATCATCATTTTAATTTAATGTCTACATTTCTGTTCTCCCATGCTCACTATGTTTTATTTACTTTATTATTGACAATGCATGATCTAGCTTTTAGCTGAACAGGGACATAAATGAGCAAATAGAGTTTTAAAGAGTTTATTTATTCAAACGTTTGACATTTCTCACTTCTCGTGAGTGCAATGTTAGCTATTTCTTACTTTTTTTACTTTTAATTTTTTGCAATACCAAATAACTTTCTATTCTTTTAACTCCTCTCTAAGGTATTTTACAAATGCATGGATCAACTTGACATTAAACAAATGTTTTGTTGAGAGATAATTACATCAATGGTGAGCAGGAGCAATGATACATATCACATTTTGAAGATGTTTTTTTACACAGACCTGCTGGTTGTAGAAAGCATCACCAAACAATTCCTATTAAAATATATTGTACGACTCAAATACACAAAAAAGAAGAATTTTTTAAATTCTAAAATAAAGACATTCCCTATATATAAATCAGGCTTCAGTTTATTGTTTATCCCTGATTGTTCAGTGTCACAATCTACATAAAATATGATTTTCAATGACCCACATAAATGTCAAATAAGTGTTTGTAATTTATTTTTTGGCCATTTTTTATACAAGACAACCAAACTTTTAGCAGCTCTTCTCACACACTCAACATTTCATTGTTATGAGCAGTGATGGCAGCACAAACCTGTGAAATGCAGATGTTTAGTCACAACCGAACAGAACCATCACTGTGCCTGAAGTAACAACCAAATCTACTGACTCATCTGTCTGTGAGGGGTAAGGCTATCCCTTAATGAGGCCCGGTTTCCCTTTACATAGAGGCTAGAATGACAACATGCGTGTTATGTTTGTGTCAAAGTTTGAATGAACTCATCTCTCAGAGGCAGAACAGCCCCCTGTTAGGAAAACTGTCAGGAAGTGAGGAGATCTGAGCTTTGATTGAGTCTCAAGCTAATAAAAGCCACTGTGTCTTGTTCTTGTTCTTCTTCTTCTTACCATTTCTGATCAGGGAGAACTGCAATACAACAAGCTCCTCGTGTAAAAAAATCATTTAAAGCTTGTCCTGATCATCTTTTTTGACACTGTTGTGTTAACTTATTGTGTAAATAAAGATTTTGTTCAAAATAAAAAAATCTTCTTCTTGTTCTTGTTCTTTCTTCTTTTTGTTCTTCTTCTTGTTCTTCTTTTTCTTGTTGCCGGGTCTTTCAAAGGCACTGTGCAAATCTGGGACAGTGACCCTGAGGCGGTTGGTGGACCAGACTTCTCCAGCGTCCGAGAGGTGGTTTCGTTGCTTGGGGTCTGGTCTGCCAGACTGGTGCAGCGCTTCCTGAACCTGGTGAAGGAGAGGATGACAGCTGGAGAGAAGTGTCTCCTGCAGCTGTGGTCCACGGGGACTCGCCCGCCTGACCCAATGGACCCTTTCCCGGACATCCACCTGGATCCTAACTTTGCAAAAGACAGTGGTCCTCTGCTACGCAACACAGACCCAAAGATAGACTTGTGCAGAACAGGTCCAAAAGGACTTTATAGGACTTGTGTTAAGATTCTGAACAAGAGAACTCTGCACAACAGCTGTCTGCGTGTGGGACGACCAGCCCCAGTGGAGGACTCTTTACAAACCTTCAACAAAAAAAACGAACTGGCGATCTTCAATGAAGGATCCTTCACGGCGCCATTGCAACAAACTCATTTTTGTCAGTCGTCAATCCCGAGATTTTAAACGAGTGTCCTCTTTGCAGTTTGCCTGAGAGTGTTTTTTATGTTTTTACAGATTGTGTACAGCTGACGACTCTGTTAATCTATGACGAGGTTTTTTAGCCTTTTTGACACAGTTTTCACCAAATCTGTTTTTATGAAGGGAGTACATTACATCAAAGCCACCAAGTTTAAATCCCAAACTTTAAACTTTTTAGTGGCCGAATCAAAAATGGCTGTTTACTTGTCTCGCAGGGACAGACTGCAGGCTGGACCTCAACTTGATGTCGTGGTTCAGTGGAAGTGCAACGTCAAGGCCAGACTGGCGTTGGTGTTTTGCTTCCATAGAGACACTGGACACTTGAAGAATTTTGTGAAACTCTGGGGATTTAAGAAGGTTTTATGCACCATTTCTGATCAGGGAGAACTGCAATACAACAAGCTCCTCGTGTAAAAAAATTATTTTAAGCTTGTCCTGATCACCTGTTTTTAACACTGTTGTGTTAACTATCTGTGTAAATAAAGTTTTGTTAAAAATCAAAAATCTTGTTCTTCCTGTTCTTGTTCTTTTTTTCCTCCTTCTTCTTCCACTTTTCCCTCTTCAGGGGTCACCACAGAGAATCACCCTCCTCCGTCTCACTCTGTCCTCACTCCACCTACCTCCATGTCCTCTCTAACTGCATCCATTTATCTCCTCTTTGTCTTTTTAATGGCAGCTGCATTTCTAACATCCTTCTACCAACACACCGTTGTATCTCTGCAAAGTGAATGAAAAACATTTATAATCTGCCTCTGTTTATCACCTTTTCTACAAACCATCCTGCTGACGAGCCTTTGTTGTTGTGGCCGATGGTGATCTTCCTAATTTTGCCCAAGTTCGGCGCCTCAATAGTGAACTTGTCCTCTGTGCCTTTTTCAAAGTTGTTTTTGTCACTGTCGAGTCGCCTCTCCCCTAAAATACACAACAGTTAGTAAACGCCATCAGTTGATTTGTAGTTTAACTTCAGTGTGCTGCATCAGAACAGGTCTCCACTTTGGAAAATCAAAGTTAGAATGATTGTTTACATTTTTAGTAGTGGGATTCAGAGGAAAGAGTATGGATAATTAATATCTTATCTGTTATTGATAGCTCTTTGAACAACCTTCGTTTGGTAAAAGTGAGTTTATTTTTGACCTGATTGAAGAAGTAATGGTCTGCTAGAGCATGTGACAAGTGTTAAAGTGACCAACTGCTGTTTTAAAACAACTCAAACATTTTTAAAAAATTAATAGTGGTTCATCTGAAAACAGTTTTGCAAAATTGTGTCCCTGCTGTCAGTTTCCCATCACACAGTTATTCTAGTAGAAGTAGTCTGGTATTCCTGCAGGAAGTGCCGTCAGGCTGCACCAGAAAGGCTAACCACCAATTGTGCTTGAAAATAAATAATGTTTTATTAATAACTATGAAATGCCAAATAAAGGACAATGTAAATATACATATTCCCGAAAACACTTCTGTATAAATGTTTACTTTGCTGAGTTTATTGACACATAATGACAGAATCCAATGGGTATTTGCGAGTGCAAGTAGCAGCAGTAGTAATCTACAGCACTTCCTGTGTAACCTGAAGCTGTTCAAGTCAGAATAAGATAATATTTCTGCTAAAAGTCCCAGTGATGCAAAGTAGATAACGGTGTCAAGGTTTCTAAAACTGTTTTTTGCTTTAATAGCTGTGACATGTTTTTAATTGAACTGTGTTAAAATGATGTTACATTTTAATTTTGAACTTATTTCGTCAGTCTGGTCCGAATGAAACTTTTTCTAGCTAGGAGGTTGTCCAAAGAGTTATCTGCAACAGGTAAGATATTTATTATTCGCAACTTTTCCACAGAACCTTACTTCAAAAGATCCAAACTACTTCTTTAAGTTTTTCGCCTCGTGTTTCTTACCTGTATCCCCAAGCTCTCCAAATATGTTGATGAAGACGTCCGCATCTGTTCCGCTCCCTTTGACATCCGCAGTGAAAACGCTCACCACATATTTGTTATCTGGGAATCATATTCAAAATGTAAACAAGTGTGAGAATAAATTATAACTTCATTTTTTTCATTTTGGCCCTAATTGGGTGGACTATCAATTAAATTATTGGTGAAGCTAAAAAAAAGATGAAGTTGTATACATTTGGGCATGTCCATGGGGTCCATGGTGGCCAGCAGGTCTCTAACATAAAGGCTGTCTCCTTCCACTTTACTGAGCCAGTTATTACAAGAAAAGTAGAACCTCAAGTGAGGCCGGATCACATCTGTGATGACCACTCGGTCCAGGAACCAGCTGGCATTCATACCCGTGTTGTCGTGCTCAATCCTGGACAAGCACAAAAGCATTAGAGTAACTTTCAATAAATTAACTGTTTCTCCATAAATCCACTCCACAGTGTTTGAGTGCATGTGCAAACTCTAAAAATTACTTTCCAAAGGGACTAAACAAACGCAATAAGTGTGAAGAGTTACCCGTACCTTATTTTTTTTAAAGCTCCAACATTGTGAGTTCTAATTCTGAAAACGTCCGTTTTGGCCCTTTCAAATGCCGTCCGACTCCTAGAATCAAAAAAATGTCCAAACTTAGGAATCATTCCTGCGCCATTTTTTTTTCTCTTTAATTTCAACTTAATTGCAAAATAAAGAAAGAAATTAATCAAATTAAATAAAATAAATAAAACAAGCAAGCAGGAAATATGAAGTAAAATTTAAATAACAGCATAAGACAATTTTAAAAGCCAGTTTGGTCAACAAGCATGCAGCAAAATATAATCCGATTTGTGACAGTATCACCGCACACAGATTGTTTTCTGACTGTTCCCCACCAAAATAATTAAAAATACGTACTTTTTTTCTGTGCTGTTGATGAAAGAAAAAACAAGAAGATAAAAAGCAAAGAGCTGTTCAATTAAACGTACAAAGAATACAATAAAACGTGTTAAATCATGGTTCATTCATGATTACTTTTTGCTTTTATTGCATTATAATTACTATAAATAATTGAATATATATATATATATATATATATATATATATATATA